CCCCAAAACCCCAAAACCCCAAAACCCCAAAACCCCTCAGCTGTGTTTGCGGCTGAATAAAATAATATATAGTCAATATGTTCTTATCTAACACTCAAAGATGCATGAAGAACATCCTGAGACCAGGATCCTTCCAAAGTATCACCAGAGGAAATTTGTAAGCATCTCCAAAGCACCAAACTGAGGTGCTACCCTAGTTCAGTGCATTTCATGTTGATAGGATACTTCTTCACAATTTTTCGTGGATCCTTGAAGGATTCTCTAAACTGTGTGTATAGGTTTAACTACTCTTCGATGTTCAGAAGCCCAGCCTTCGCTCAAGCAAACCTGCATGGTAAAGATCATCTTTGTGACTCTATAGCTGCAAATTTCAGAAGAATGTGTACTCTAAATCTAAAGAACAACCCAGAAATTGTGAAGACTCTTATGGACAATGATGCTTCTAAGGTCAGGAATATTGGAATTATTGCTCATGTCGATCATGGAAAGACCACTCTGGTGGACTGCATGCTTAAAGAGAGTGGTATCAATTTTGAGAGTGAGAGAGCCATGGATAATATTGATATTGAACAAGAAAGAGGAATCACAATCATGTCTAAATGCACGAGCGTTATCTACAAAGGACATAAAATTAACGTAGTCGATACTCCAGGCCATGCCGACTTTGGTGGAGAAGTCGAGAGAATCATGTCCATGGTTGATGGAGTCTGCTTGGTCGTTTGTGCCTCTGAAGGACCAATGGCACAGACTAAATTTGTACTTGACAAAGCTCTCAAACAAAACGCGATCCCAATTGTGGTCATAAATAAAGTTGATAGAGAAATGGCAAGAGTTGTCGATGTTGAAAATGAAGTTTTTGATCTTTTCTGTGCCCTAGAGCCAACTGACGAACAACTTGAGTACCCAATGATTTATGCATCAGCAAAGGATGGATGGGCTTCTTTAGATCCAGATGAGAAGACAAATAGCGTATCAGCTCTTCTTGATCAAATCATCGAGACAGTTCCCCAACCCAAAGTAGATACAGATTCTACTGACTTTAAAATGCTTGTGACACAAACCGAGAGTAACAAATACTTTGGGAGACTTCTTGTTGGTAAAATACAGAGAGGGAGCATAAAAGTTGGAGATAAGATACAAGCTGTAGATTCTGAAGGAAAGATCGTCCAGGTCAGCTCCATCTTAAAAATCTTCAAAAAGTTTGGTGTTGGAGAAGCCCAGATCGATGAAGCATTCCAGGGTGATATTGTTTCAATAGCAGGAGTTGGAGGAGCTACTGTTGGATGCACTATTAATTGTGAAGGAAATTCAGAGGTGATTAAGTCAATTCCAATCGATCCTCCAATGATTTCTGTCTGTGTTACCTTCAATGATTCTCCTTTCCAAGGTCAAGAAGCTGAGAAAAACACAATCAATCAAATCATTGCTAGACTAAACGAAGAAGCAGATAATGATGTCTCTCTTAGAGTCACTCAAGATTCTACAAACAAAGAAATATTTGAAGTCTCTGGTAGAGGAGACCTTCATATTGGAGTCTTACTCGAAAAGATGAGAAGAGAAGGGTTTGAAATTGCTGCTTACCCTCCCAAAGTCTTGATGAAAGAGACCCCAGAAGGACTTATGGAGCCAATTGAAAAAGTTGAGATTGAATGAGACCCAGACCACATGTCAAGAATCATTGACAATCTCAACAATCGAAAGGGTATTCTGCTAGACTCCCATTCAACTCCTGACGGAAGAGATGTGCTTGAATTTCAAGTTCCATCAAGAGGTCTCATTGGATTCAGATCCCAACTCATTGGAGATACTAGAGGTACTGCAGTCATGAAGTCTGAGTTCCTTGAGTATGATTATCATAGAGGAGATGTCAAAAAGAGCAACAAGGGGGCTATTATTTCAACTGCTGAAGGAACCACAACTCCTTATGCACTCAAGGATGTCGAAACCAAAGGTAGACTTTTTGTTGGTCCGGGAGAGAGGTAAGAAAATGTTTCAGCTTTGGAAAATAGATAGATAACTATATGAAATTCTTATTTGAACTGAAAAATCTTTAATTTAGAGTATACCCAGGAATGGTCATTGGAGAGCATACATTAGAGTCAGATATCGAAATGAACCCAGTGAAGACAAAGAAATCTACAAATATTAGATCAGCTGGTACAGATGAACAAATAAAACTCATACCAAAGATAGATTTGAGCTTGGAAGAAGCCATTGCTCAGGCAAGAGATGATGAGCTTGTCGAAGTCACTCCTAAATCTATTCGTGTGAGAAAGTAAGTCAGTTTGAGCCAAGAGGTTATACTTATTTGAGAGCTCTGAGTCTTATCTGTGCTATAGAGTTGTACTTGATATGAATGAAAGAAGAAGAATGAAGAGAAAGGAAAAGAATAACAAGAGATAAGTTAATTCCTTAATATTTAAAGAGTTTCAATCGATTTTATCAAGCTAGGGGTTTTGGGGTTTTGGGGTTTTGGGGTTTTGGGG